GAGTTGTCTTTCCTCTCGATACCTCTAATAGCGACTTATGTTGTAAGTATACGAGAAAGGTTTTTCTTTCAACATTTCTGCGGCCCTTGCGACTGCCATGAAGATTGAGGGGATGTCCAAGATATATAAGTACAAGAATTTTGGCGGACACTTACGGGTTGATACAAGGAAGCAACAAAGAAGGAGTTTTATCGCCAATCTAAAACAGAGAAGCTGGTAGCAAAGTTATGTTGCTTACTGTGCAGGAAATTTGATAATAACTATAGAAATCAAACTCAATTCAAAAACTTAATAATATATGAATTTAAGATATCATACCTTTTTCTGTTGTTTGAGAGTGCTTCATAACTTGATTAATAGTTGGAGACAACGAAACATTGGTTTGCATATCCTCTTTCTCAAGAACAATATTTTTCATTTTTCTTATTTCTTGACTAGAGGAGGAGGTAGAACTCAGTTTTGTGCTTTTAAAAGGAGTTTGCATATGTTGATTAGCACAAACAACACTCTTGTTAAAAGATCCCACCTCAGATTCAGAAATTCCTAAAGGTGAGCTCAAAGATCCAGATCTTTTCTCTAGTCCCTTTCTTATAGCAGCTGGACGCACTAAACGTAATATAAGAGTTCATCAAAAAAATTGAAAACATAACAGATTTATATAAAATACATGTTTGAAAATATCTTACTTGTTCAACTTCTTGGGTGCATTTCTCAACCGTGGAGTTCTTATAAATCGTTTGCATTCCTTGACTAGTGAAGATGGTAGACTTTTTAAGTCCTTGTCCTTTGTCCTTCTCCATAGAACCTGAAAAAAAAAGTCATTTGTTTGAGATTAAAAAGTTTGTAGCCGAAGTGAAAGATCAGGTGAAATATGAGCTACTGTTAAGGACTGGATTTACACTATGAAAATTCCCTATCAGATACTTGGGACTGCCTCTATCATCTAAGGGAGGTGAATACTCAATCACAAGGAGCTATGTTGATCTTAGAGGGCACTACAATAGATAGCTATTAAGGGCTGATAGTGACAATTATTCATATATATATGAGGCTGATAGGTTTAGATACCTAGTAGGATTGTATATACCTATTACTATTCTTAAATTTTGTCAGTAGTGGAAGTGGCAATTATTCATGTCTTCATGCAATGAAGTATATTCTGCAATCTATGGGGCTGGTAGGTTTAGAATGTTTGACAACATGCAGTTGTATGGATCAATAGTGGAGAAATCCAAACTGGATGAAGGCATGATTGCGCGCAAGATAAATCAGAAACTGAGAAGATTATTTTCTGCAGTAAATTTAGACTTCAGAAAGCTAGATAGTCGAGAATAAAAATAAGGAAAACCTTGAAACCTCTCCATGGCCAGTTTTTGTAAGCCATAATCAATGTGTTTTATTTAGTATTTTTGACAGGTTCCTTGCCTGTTGCAGGAGTTCTGAAAACTACAGAAAGCAGGAAAAAACATTTCTCTTCAACACAATAAAATCAATAGGTTCAGTCATTTTTCATCGAAAATGATTGACATTCACTACAAGAAAATCAGCATCATATTCAGAAATTTCAAAAGATGAGCTCGAAGATCCAGATGTTTGCTCTAGTCTCTTTCATATAGCGGCTGGACCCACTAAACATAATATAAGAGTTTATAAAAAAAAAATAGACCACAACAAATTTGCAAACAACACATGTTTGAAATATCTTACTTGTTTCAACTTCTTGGGTGTATTTCTCAACTTTAGTAGCAGATGTAGGAAATGAAAGATTAATTTGCTTGTTCTCTTTCTCAGGAACCATGGAGTTCTTATAAATCGTTTGCATTCCTTGACTAGTGAAGATCGTAGACCTTTTAAGTCCTTGTCCTTTGTCCTTCTCTGTAGAACCTAGAAAAAAACAGTCATTTGTTTGAGATTAAAATATTTTTAAGGGGGGGGGGGGGGGTGGTGGGTGGGGGGGAACCAATATACATGGAGTGATAAGCAAGAAAGCAATAGAGTTTATTCGAAGACAAATTGGATATTTGTAAATGGAGACTGTGGGACTACTTTCTTGGACGAGGGGGTGAGTGATCATATTCCAACAATGTTGTCCTTAGTACATATCCAGGTGGGGAGGATGAGATCTATCAAATAGATGTAGCAGGGGGGATTATTTCTGAGACTGAGGCTGCTAGAGATGAAAGGTAAATTACATCAGAATCTTTTAGATATCCAAGTCAAGGTAGCAAACAGGAAAGTATTTGAGAGAGTCAATAAATTATGGCAGAATCTTTCTTACTTTAAAGAAGAACGACAACATGGATTAGGCTTGAGGACGACAACACCTAGTACTTTTACTCAGTGATCACATACAGAAGATTGATACAAGTTGTGACACAACTGACGGATGAGAATTTAAGAGTACAGACTGACCTGGACAAAGTGGATGATATATTTGTGATGTATTATCAACAGTTATTAGGTGAAACAGGGGTGACAAGGGAGAAATAACTAGCTAAAAATCACTCACAAAGTAAAAATGAATCACATTTTAGATTACAAATCAATAAGTTCTGTCATTTTCATCGGAAATGGTTGAAACTTCACACCTCCTCCTCCAAGATAAAATACAGAATGCAAGAAAAGAATTTTCTCTTCAACACAATTAAAGATTTTTCTTATGGTCTGAAGTAATAGAATACAAAATATCTTACTTGTTTCAATTTCTTTGATGTACTTCTTAACTAGATCACTTGATTGAGGCAATAAACTCTTAGATGGTGTATTCCCTTTCTCACCCAAAGATTTAAGCCCTCGTCCCCGTCCCTTTCCTATAGCACCAGGCGCGACAAATGTATATCTGATAGTACTCTTCATATTAGAACCGGCCTCATTTTCAATTTTCAATGGTTTCATCTTGAACCTGCAAAAATAGTCAAAAGTTAAAGTTTGGACCTGAAAAATATGTAACAATATAGTGATAAAAATTTTGCACTTTCTGGAACACATAAGCAAAACATTCTGTTTGCGAGTCTCGCCTCCCCTACTTATAACAGAAACATTAAAATTATGTAAGTATATTTTACTGTTAAAGTTACATGGAACAGGTCTAGTTCCTATTTCGCTCACAAAATATCAACATCAAAGACAGAAAAGTAGTATATGTTGTTGGCGAAATAATTAGACTTTTCAAATACAATATGCACTCTATACAAAATTTGAATCCTCAGACACATACAACAGTTAACAAAAACGAGTCACTATTAGAAACTCAACCCAATAATCTTTTACTGATTGTACATAAGAAAACATATCAGATTATGAAACTTTTAACCTATCTAATGTTATAAAACAGGAAGAACAAGAAGAAGAGTAACTTAAATAAAACAATAAAAAATCTATCAATACAGTTTATGAAATTCGAAACAACAGAAGCTTGATTAGAAGAGGAAGCAAACTTGTAAGATCTGTTTCACCGATCGAGCAACTAGAAGCAGCAACTATACATTTTACCTCTTTGATGAGCAGCTGCGATGGAAATCCTTTGATGAAGAAGACAGAGTTGAGCAGCTTGCGATGGAAATACTTTGATGAAGAAGACAGAGTTGCGAAGAAGAACAACGATATAATAATGTTGAAGAGATCGATCGATATAGAGAAGCTTGTGACTTGCGACCAGCTGAAGAGCTATTTTTCCTTTGTACGCTTTTACCTTTTAGAAAATAGGGTTTTTCCTTTTTGGCTAGTTTCAATAATATAATGTAAAAAAAATTGCCGCCTAAATTTTGGTGATTTTTTTTTAATACTTTATTAAATTTTGGCTGGCAGTAGAGCGCTAAAAGTCTTAGAATTAGACTTTGGGACCAGTTAATATGTTATTTAGGGACCGGATTAAGTATCTTCGCAATAGAGTATACAAATAAGGACCGGAATATAATCTCGTCCCAATACATATATCTTTAGAGGGGATTAGTAGCTGGTCCCTAAATGTCGGTCTTAAATAAGAGTTTTTCTTGTAGTGTTTTTAATCCTATTTTATAATTAACTAAATTTATGTGTAAAAAAATTTTCTAAGTACATCAATGACATTATAAAAAAAAGTTTAGTGATGTCATGTGTACATCATGGGAAAATAGACTTGGGAATTTTTAAAATAACTTTTCTTTCTGTTTTGGTGAATTAAATAGGTAGTGTCATGGGTTAAATACATTTTATTAATAAAAAACAACATATATGATATGTTAAATATGTGACATATATTTTCTAATTAAAAGACAATAGTTGGATGATTTTGTTGTTTTAAAAACAATAAAAGATACTTTAATGAAATATCTTCATAAGTTGAGTGATTTTTTATCTTTAAAAAAAATTAATAATGTATTTTCTTAAATTGAGTGACTCTATTGTCCTAAACAAAAAAAAAACTTTAATAATATGTTTTCATATATTAAATGACTTCATTTTTCTTCCTTAAACGATAACTTTAATATTATCTCCTCATTTATTGCGTGACCTTTTTTTTTTTTTTTTTAATGACCATCTAAAATTATCCTTGTATATATATAACCCACAACACGAAAGTGGGGTTCCATTTTCCCCAAGGTCTTTTATCCTCCTCTGTAAGTTTTCTTCTTTCCTGTTCTTTTTTTTTTTTTTATGTCAAATGCTACTTTTTCACTATACAAAACTATCCTTTAACCATTAGAACAAACGTTGACGATGATGACAAGAAGTTTTTTCATGTGAAATGCTCCTTTTTCACTCTTTTTTACTGTAGAAAATTACAATCAGTCAAACCATTAGAACAAACGATGAGGATGATGACAACAACAATGAACTTCTTTCTGAATTCTGTTCAATCGCTTCATTTTGTTTTCTGATTTTGCATCACTCACAAGCACACCATTTGCAATTGTTAATCTTCGTTTTTCACGCCTTTTGCGTGTTTAATTTTGTGAGGTTTTAATTGCTTGTAACCATTTTTGTTTTTGGATTTCAGCTAGTTTGGATTTTTCTGCAAAATGGTCAATGTTGAGAACAAACAAAATATTGAACAGGAACATGACGACGTTAACAAGACGAACGTTTTAGGTGTTGATCCGTTACTTAGCGATTCTCATGAATCCGCCATTGCAGCGGACTCATCTCAAGAGGAAGAGAAACAGGTGGTGAAAAAATCAGCAAAGTACAAACACACGACAGTGGAAGGACGTGGAACGAGAGTCCGTCTGTCGCCGATCTGTGCTGCTAGAATCTTCCAATTAACGCGGGAATTGGGACATAAGTCTGAAGGTGAGACTATAAAATGGATTCTGGAACGTGCTGAGCCAGCGATTATTGCTGCCACTGGAACTGGTACGGTTCCGGCCATTGCTGTACAAGTTAACGGAATGTTGAAAGTACCAGCGACAATTAACGAGGGAGAAAGCTTGATGAGGAAGAGGAAAAGGGCTTCCAATAGCGAATTTTATGACATGCTTAAGGAGTCAAAATTTGCACCTGTTGCTCCCATTGCCCCAAAAGGTGTTGTTCCTGTTTGGCCAGTGGGCAATGGGTACTATATGCTGCCACCTGTTGCTGGGCTTCATTTACGGGCCAGCCCATTGATCAATGTCAATGCTGTTGGTGCTAGTGAGCTTAAACTGAGCAGCTCATGTGTGTCAAAAAGTACTGGGAATGGAAACAAGTTAGGTGATGGTGTTTCAGTCATGGCTCCGAGTTCAACTTCGACTTCTCCTGGTGCCACAACTACAACTACTAGGGGGTCTCCATTGGAAATTTTTAACAAGAAGGTGCATCAGCTTATGAATGGTTTTGGTTCCACCAAATCCTGATTACATTTTCAATAGTGGACAGAGAATGGGTTAGCTAGTCTTGTAGGCCCATAAGTATGTAGTTGGTTCTTGATTAGGCGCTAAGTTTTAGCCTAATTCATAGCTGCTTTGTCTTAGCTTTAACAGTTTGCTTGTAAATTAGCCTTTAAAAAAGACAAATGGAAATAAAATGTGGTTTCCTCCTCTAGAGAGGAGCTTGCTTTGTTGTAATGACATGGGTTGGTCAAATTTATTTGAATGTCAACTTCCTGTTTCGTTTGCTTTGGGGCTCTGAATTTTATGTATTTTTGCTCTTTGTGATTGTGAAAAGCAAAACGGTTTTGATTAGGTTGGATTGATTTTAAAAGCTAACACGTAATTTGGTAGAATGTATAAAAATAATATTAAATTGAGTATACTAGTAATAGTTGTATTAATATTAATATTGTATTAGTTATACTTGCATTAATTATGCATTGATTATTTCTTATTAATTGTTTAGTTTGGTATATTAAAAATAGTATGCATTGTATAAAGATATTTTTTATAAAAATATCCTCTACAAATATGATTGAAAAGAGAGTTAATATCTTAATAGGTCACTCAATTTAGTAAATTTATCTAGAAAAGTTATTGATATAAAACAAAATTCAATGATTTTGCTAGATATATTTTCAAAGTTGACTGACATTTTGAGATATTAACTCATTGAAAAGATGTAAAAGTATTTTTGAGTTTTTAACCATGCCAATGCATGTATTAAATCCCTTTGCAATACTAATCCCTAGAAATCCATGATATTAATGATACCCTCCTCAATACACAATAAAGTGTATCAAACAAGACATTACTAATACACATAACTAATGTATGCATTATTTTTGCTAATACACTCTACCAAACGACCCATGTGTATTAGCAAAAATAATGCAAGCATTAACTCTATGTATTAGTAATGTCTTGTTTGATACATTTTTTCATGCTATGTATAATTAAATACAAGCATTAGTTATACACTCTATTGTGTATTAAAGTATGTTCTACTAATATCATGGATTTTTAAGTATTAATAATTCTTAATACATGCATTAGCATGGTTAAAGACCCCATTGCCCCTTAAAATCTTTTTTTCATCTTTTTCACCTTAATTGTGAAGACCATCTTTGTAAGTAAATATTTTTATGCGATGCATGTTATTTTTAATACACCAAATCAAACAATGCATAAAAAATAATTTATATATAATAATTCAAACATAACTAATATAAGCATTATTAATAAAAAAAATTATTATTACTAATAAAAGTGTGTGCCATTTTTTCGTGTTTGTATTGTAACACATGAATCTCCTTTTTTTTCTCCGACTTTATAAAATCCCTTTGTAGCAGTGCTTGTCAATGTCATGACTCATGGGGTCATTTGCCTCGTGCACTTGAATTACTTCGAAAATGCACGTGACTTAAGAGTAACGCACGTAAAAAGTAGGGGATGAGTGGTAAGTGGTCCCCATCCTAAGAGGGGTGCGTCAATGAAAACTAGTCAATAAACACCACACAGTGTATCCATCGGTTCGATTAAAATTTATCGATTTGATTTATTAATTATTAATTTATCAGCAGGTTAAATTATTATAGAACTATTGAGATATTGATTTATCAATTATTAATGATCGTTATCAGTTTGGTTATTGTTTAAATATTTAAATTTTACATAAAAAAAATACATTGAAAATCATTTAGTGAAATAAGGTGATAATCAAATGTACCATGCAAATGAGTTAATAGATTGCAATTTTGCTCAAAATCAAGCACTAGCATCTTGTGGAATAATTGAGAGTATGAGACAGTTAGAAATAAAAGTATAAACTAAAATCTTAAGTGAAGGACTTTATATGTCAAATGATATAAATATAATTTATTAATTTATTATTAGATCACCCTCAAGAAAATATTTCAAATCATTAAAAAAATATAACTCGATATGAAAAATAAAAATCATTATCGAAATTGCTAACTCAATAATTCATTACCGGAAAATCAATAACCTCTTTTCAGTATGAATTATTGGTTTTAATTTAATTTTGAACAACTCTAAATGACGGGTTCATAATTTATTGAAATAATTTTAAAGGTGAGTGATTTTAAACTTTTTGACCTAGGTGCCTTATTTGTAGAACTTCAAGTTTTTTTTAAAAAAATGACTTTAAACTGAGAGATTAGCCCATGAAACAAGCAAAGGGTCCTAGGTTAAGACCCATTTGGCCATAAATTTAGATTTTTTTAAAAAATGAGATTTTGAAATTGTGATTTTAGAATTTAAAGTTGTGTTTGAATATACATTTTAATTTAAAAAAATTAAAATTTTATGAGTGAAAGTCTCGAAATTGAAAAGTTATCTGAGTAATTTTTTGGAAAATTAAAATATTTGAAAATCTAAATAAATTTAATGACTAAGTACAAATATTGGGAAGTTAAAATTTAATATCTGGTGTAAAAATCACCAATTTACAAGCCCATTGGATGTAATTCCTCAGAAGGCTTAGCACACAGACATCCCGTCAAATTTGCTATCAATTTCATTTAAACACTTAAATTTCAATTTATTCTAATCGAACATCTGAATATATGAAAAAACGTTTTTATTTCTTACTTTCACTTCAATTTAAAAAAGAAAACAAAAATTGAGTGATATCTTCAATATCAAGTACATATTAATTAATTACCTTATTCAATATATGAATTAGTCTCAATAATTCATAAAATTTTAGGCATTTTCATGATGTCCATAACTAAAAAAACTTATTTAAATTAAAAATGACTAATAAAATTATTTTATCAAACATACAAATGTTCATTCAATTGAAATAAGTTACATATACTCACTCATTGAACATAATTTTAGTGATTAATTAAATTTTGATTTGACTTTCTTAATAAATAAGAATGGTAGAGAGAGATTATATTTGTGGGGCACTTCTAGGAGAGTGGGCCCTCAGCACACTTTTTCAGGCGGCCGCGTGGTGGTCCACTGGCTAAGACTATCCAAATTGAAAATCAAATCAATTTGATTCAATAAATTTATTTTGATTTTAAATTTAAAAATTGATAAGTAATATTTATTTTCCTTTCAATAAAAAGTTTAATTAAATCATTTTATATTACAAATTTTAAGTATAAATAGCACAACAAAATCAGATATTTACTCAAGAAAAGCATGCCATTATGGAGTTTACAATAGGATATATAGCATGTGTACAAATAATGATGATGTTAGTATTTGTTATTTTTGGGTTACTTATACTGAAATTATTTTTTTGTGCAATATTTAGTTTGATACATTAAAAATAATATGCATTGTTTTTATTGCATAAGTTTTTTTAAAAAAATAATGAATATTTGTTTAAAAAATAATATTATCTATAATACGGTGGAAAAGATTAAAAAAATTAGGGATAATTATTTATTTAACCATGATAATAAATGCATTAAATTTCACATGTTAATATCATAAATTTTCATGTATTAATTACAAATAGCAAAATATAAAATAAAATATATATATCTAAGGCTAATGTACCAAATAAAGGTACACATACAGGTTGAAACAAAATATGGATAATTTACAAAATTAGTATATGCATTTTCTTTTCTAATGCACTTTATCAAATAATCCGTAACAGTATACCAAACTTTATTAAACATGTTGAACCATTTGCATTATGTTAAGACCTCATCTAACCACAGATAATTGAACAGTATAATTTGATAATATAAAGGCGGCAATGTCGAAAAAGCCCTTAACTATTTAATTGGCGGATATGTAAACTTTAGGGGGAAAAAACTATCAAAATGATGGTGTTCCTTGACTCTTTAACATATATATTGTTATAAAAAAATAGTAGAAAATATAATTGAAGAAGAAGATGGTTTTGAGGCGTGTAATCACTTTTTTTAAAGAGATATTGCTCATATACATATTGGGGTAAATATAAATAATTATATACAACAAAGCTTTTTTGGTTTATACATGCAAAGTTTTCTTAGGCTATTTCTAGAAAGCCTTTATATTTATAGAACTTAAGAGATGACTCTTTATAAGAGTCAAATTGTTTCATGAACAAATGACTTTTTATAAGAATCATGTTTTTTTATGAACATATGACTTTTCATAACTGTCACGTTCTTTCATGAACACATGATTTCTTATAATAGTCAGTCATATTCTTTCACAAACATATGTATCTATTCAATTTAAAACATCTATACTTTATAAAGTATTCATCATATACTACAATTGAAATTATCATTAATATATAACAAATTATATTTATTTTAATTTTTTATCCTAAACCTAATGTTAACATTAATTGTATATCTACGTAACTAACGAAATTCACCATTTGTATGACGTATCCATCTCCAAAAAGATTGATAAAATTATTAGAATAGATGTATGAGGAGAAGAGACATATCATAAAGAGGTTTCTAAACTACTTATCGTGCTTCATTACTTTTTATTTTTCATGTGGCTATTAATATTATTAGGGAAAATCGGGCAGAATAAAAGGAAAGAAATCCAAAGAGCAGGAGAAGCTAGAAAAGAAAATAACAATTGATAGATTTTATTAGTCATGTGAAACCCATTATTGAACTTAACACTATTTTTTGACAATCTATTAAATTTAGGGTAAAATTATCAAAATATATCTTTTATTATATTATAAATTATAAATCATTTTATCTAAAATATATTAAGAATCAAAATAAAGTAACACCAATCCATTAAGGTCTAGTTTGATCTTTATCTCATCAACTTTTTACCTAGCATAATTTTCTTCTCGCATTTTATTTTTTCATTGAGTGTCTAAAATATAATGCATGCATTAGGTGTGTGTATTAATAATACTTTGTTTGATACGCTTATTCATGTCATGTATAACTAATGCAAGTGTTAGTTATACACTCTATTGTGTATTAACTTGAGTATTACTAATACCAAGGAATTCTAGGTATTAGATACATAACATTTTAACACTTGCATTAAATTAAATAATTACAAAACTACCCTTAAAGCCTTTTCATTTTCTTTGTTGTCATAAGTTTTTGTTTTTATTTTGATTTGCTTTTCGGTGTCTTTTAATTTTTTGGTGTCTTAATAGGCTTTATGACCTCTTAAGTATCTTTTTTTTTAAAAATAAAATAAAATAAATTCAATTTCAATATAATTTAATCAAAATTTTTACTATTGTGACGATAAATTTGATTAAAAAAAGTATTTGCCAACTTTTCACAAAAATATTTTGACGCAATAGTACAACTATTTAATATTATTTTTAAAAAGAAGAAGAAGAAGAAGAAGAGTTAATGATGTTTTAGCAAAGATTTTTTTTTTGATGTTTTAGCAAAGAACTTTGTTGCAAAGGAAGTGTACAAATAAATAAAGTGTGAAGGGTATATTTGTAAACATATATTTTTTAATAGAAATTATGCAAGATTTGTTATTTCTAATATATCAAATCAAACAGTGTATAAGAAATAATGTTTGCATAACTAATGCAAGTATTACTAATACGAACACTACTAATGCAAACATTACTAATACACCATATTTTATATTATTCTTATACACTCTATCAAACGATCCCTAAAGCTCTAACTAAATTCGAATTACTCATGACCCATTTGGGAGTAGCACTCCCGACATAGCATTGTTAATTTCTTCTTCAGTCAATTTTCATTAATTACACAGTCACTTTTTGGGATATTGTAGTTATTTTAATTTTCTTCTGTTTTTTAAAGCTTTCAGAATAGGAACTCAATCCTCCTTTCTTACTCACATACCACAGTTACAATACACCAGCGTTCCTATTTTCTTCTTCCTTCTTGCCCCCAAGAGCTCCTTCACACACCACCACAGCACTAGTTTTTCTCCCCTGCAACTTCTTTATTCCTTTGTCATTTTCTTATTCTTTCCATGTATTTCATTTTAGCACCTCCAACCAAAAGTTGAATCTTGTATAATGCATTACTCTGTATCATGTGATATATTCCATACAAGTGTTCGTGAAGAAGAAGAAGGAGGTATTTTTCATAAGATTTCCAACCTATCGTACTTTCTCTTCTAGCACTGCTGAATACATACTCACAAGGTTTGCTACTTCATTTTGTCCTTTTATTATAGATCTATGCTATGAAAAGTTGGTTATGAGCTTAAAAACTGTTTCGGAATCAAGTCTGGCAAATCATTATTATTTTTTGTTCTGATTTTTCGTCATTCATAATCGTTTTTCATGCCTTCTGTGGGTTTAATTGCAGTTCTAAATTTTGGGGTTTGTAACTATTTTATTTTTCGGATTTCAGCTATCTGCTGCTGTGTTTGGATTTTTCTGCAAAATGGCCAGTGTTGAGAACAACCAAAACATTGAACAGGAAGATGACGAGGTGAACGACTCGAAGATTGATCCGTTACTTGGCGATTCTCATGAATACACCATTGCAGCGGTAGGGAATGTCACGGATGCGGAAGGGGTGGATCCATCTCCGGCGCCGTCAACCGATATGGTGCTGTTGTTAAAGGAAGAACCGGAGGAAAACGATTTGCGAGTTTCTACGTCAGTTGGGATGAATATGCAATTGCAAAAGGTAGAGAAACAGCCGGTGAAAAGATCTTCAAAGGACCGGCACACGAAAGTCGAAGGCCGTGGTCGGCGAATCCGTATGCCGGCAGCTTGTGCTGCTAGAATCTTCCAATTAACGCGGGAACTAGGTCATAAATCGGAAGGTGAAACTATAAGGTGGCTTCTAGAACGCGCCGAGCCAGCAATCATTGCCGCTACTGGAACGGGTACGGTTCCGGCCATCGCCGTATCAGTAAACGGAACGCTGAAAATACCGACGACTTCTCCGGCGGCAAACGAGGGAGAAAGCTCGACGAAGAGAAGGAAAAGGGCTGCAAATAGCGAGTTTTATGACGTACATGAGGGGTCAAATTTTGCACCCGTGGCTCCCATTGCCCCACAAGGTCTTGTTCCTGTCTGGCCAGTGGGCTCTGGGAATGGACTTGTACCAACCACTGCATTTACCGGTGGGGCAACTTTCTATATGCTGCCGCCAGGCACTAATACAACAGTTGGGGCTCAGTTGTGGGCCACTCCAATATTTAACGTACCTGGAAGACCCATTTCAAATTTTGTATCTGCAATGCAACCTGGTATGGGTTATGCAGCAGGAGGGGTCTCTGCTGCTAATGAGGTTCATTTGAGCAGCTCTTGTGTGTCAAAAAGTGATAACAATGGAGACAAGTTAAGCACTGTTGCTTCAACCATGGCTCCAAGTTCGAGTTCTACTGGTTCCACAACCACAAGTACTACACAGATGCTTAGGGATTTTTCATTGGAGATTTATGACAAGAGAGAGCTTCAGTTTATGGTTGGTTCTGGCTCCAGTGAAAATGATCAAACTTCCTCTTCTAAATCCTGATTAGGGTTCTAGACCCCATATAACTTTTGTTTTTTTTAATGTGCATCTAGCTGTAGTTTTTCAAAAGATTTTTTTTTGGGTCTAGTTCGTAGCTGATTTAACATTTTGCTTGTAAATTAGGTTAGAAAAAGCAAATGGAATTAGAATCTGATTCCTCCGGTAGGAAAGGAGGTTGCTCTGCTGTGATGTGATGACATGGGTTGGTCAATTTTCAATGTCAACTTGCTGTTTTGTTAGTTTTGGGGCACTCAATTTTTTGCCTTTTAGTGCTTGTTAATGTGCTCTATCCATTATCTATCTTAGTTAAAAAAAAGTAAAATTTGTACCAAAATATAATAAGAGGTATATATATTTCAATAAATAATTAATCCGATTTTTGGTTAGGTTGGATTGGTTTTAATCCTATTTATATTTACTAAACGTGGGACCATATTTTGTTCTTGTATTATCGTGTGTAACACTTATCTTTGGGGCCATATGCCCCGTGCACTTGGATTACTTCATAAATTACATGTGACTTTAGAGTAACCCACGTAGACAGTATGGCCCACTAAAGATGGATAGAGGGCAATGAATACTAGTCAATACACAGTAGAAGGTGGGGTCACCAATAGCCGCTAGTGGGACCATAATTTACCAAAATAATATTAAGAGAGGGGTTGGTCTTAAAACTTCAAATTTAATTGATTTTTTTAATTCAAAGGCTATGGCTATCCTTTTTTACGAGGTCTATGAAAATATGTTTAGATAATTGATAAATAAGAATGGTACAGGTGTGGGGCACATACCAACTAGGTAATCATACTTGTGGTAGAGTGGTAATTATTTTTTCATTCTTAATTAAAAGGTTTTAAATTTGAGTTTTTTTTGAGTATGAGATCCTAATTTGAAATTTCTCAATCAATATGAATATCGGGCACCAAATAAAAATGAAATTAAAAGTGGGCAAGATATTTAGGTCATGTGAAGGGTAGGACCCACTTCTAGGAGAATGGGCCCCATGCTCAGTATTCGATGCGGCCCGCGTGGTGATCCACTGGCTACTAATAAGACTACCTTTCAGGTTTGTCTTTAGGTCTGCTGCTTTTTTTGGGGGGTGGGGGGTCCTATTTGACGTGGGGACAACAGAACAGGCTGGGAATTTCTGACACGTGGTGTACTCTTAGTTGTCATGTAGGGACTACCTCCTCTAAAGTTGACACGTGGCATATGATGTACTGTTTTAATATAATCTTGAAGGATATCATCTCAACTCCCCTAAAATTTACAGCCTTTTTCTTTGCACATTTATAACAGTAGTAGCATAAAGAAATTAAATTGAAGAATAAAATGTCCAAACTCTAAAAAGAATGAGTTGCACTTGGAGGCGGACCTACATGTATGTATATCTTGAGAGATTAACAGAAATAAGGAATATAACAACTCTATAGGAATATAAAAACATAGAGTTGTTTGCTGGTAGAAGTAAGAGAATCCATCCCTGCGACCTAGGTTCAATTTTAGCCAACAACTCATTTTTAATCTTTTTATTACAAGGGTTTATTTATAATATCAAAATTGCTAAATAGGTAGATTCGAACTCACGATCATTCAATAACTATTATAGTATTTTGTTGGGTTCGCCTCCCATGTCTGATGTATCGCTTCTCTTTTAGAGTTGATTTGGATTTAGCTTAAATAAAAGTAAAAAATTATACATAAAAAGTCAATTTAAATAAGTTCTATAGCCTCATCAGTCATCACGTAGATAACCAAATTGGTAATATCTTTTTATATTAATTTAAATATTATTAGTTCTTAAAATTTAGTTATTTCTTTGTGTTTAACCAACTAACAATGTATATGCATTGTACATATAGAAGAAAATAAAGATGTTAAACACAACCTAGCTGATATCTATCGGATCCAAGTGTGTTTGATAGAGATAACGTGTTTGTATTGAATGTATATGTGCTATATATAAGTGTCGTGGAAGTCTTATTGGATTTTTTACGGTACTTGATTAGTGTTGTTGGGATTATTTAATTATGAAAGTAAGACTTGAATAGCGACATTATGTAATATTATCTTGTAAAAATAAATCATGATTTTTTATTTTTTAAATTATAAAAACATTAATTTATTTAAGAAAATAATGAAGAGCTAGGTTGTGTTGAATATTCTAAGGTCCATCCGGTTAACAAGATGGACCACTCCAAGTTTCCAACCCTCAAGTCATAAAGCTCATGTCATTAGTATGAACTAAACAGATTCATATTGACAACTCTAATATTCAACTATCCCTGCTGGAGTTAAGTGCTAATGATCTCCTGTGACACAATTTATGTCTCTTTCTTAGGATCATTGGCATGTGTCCTTCAATTTAATCTTTTAAACCTACCTTTGACCTTTATTATCTTAACCACGGAAGAAACTTCGTTATACAAAAAGTAAAAGAAAACAAGAATCAAGAAAATGTCAAATTTGTAAAGGACACATCGATTTTGAACTACAAACTCACAAGAATGAGTTAATACAAGCTATTTATAGTGTATTAGGCAACCAACTAACTACCACTTAACCTAATTAATAATGTAGCTATAACAAACTTCACAAGCTAACTACTAACTTACTAACACATATTCTCTCCTTTCAATTTGTTAATTTGTCCAATTATTTTGACTTAATACAAAATTTTAAAAAATTAAAGAACACTTTTAAATCTTGTGGTTTTAAATTAAAGATATGCCAAAAAAAAAGAAAAAAAAGCATTCTCTTTGAGACAAATTAAAAAGAATAGTAAAATAAACAAGTTGAAACAGAAGAAAAGTACAATTATTTCAAAGTGAAAAATTTCAAACATTTTACTACTACTTAAATTTTTTTAACTTTAATACAATTTTTGTTTTTGTTTTCTTTTTCCAAAAAAAAACTACTCACAATTTTAAATCGGTTTGGGCTACGATCATATTAATCTATAAACTGCTAAATGCTAATCCATACAATTGGGCCAATGTTGAGCCATCACACCATAACAAACAAAAGATTTTGCGGTAATAATATAATTAATATTAGGACAAATTACTTAACTACACTCTTTTACTTACCTTAATATCCATTTATCTCTACTTATTTCAAAAATTTCAAAAATCCTTTATTTACCTATGTATCCCGCATGAATCCCGTGCACAACGCTATGTATCCCGCTATGTGGAATGTATCAAACGCTATGTATCCCGTGCACAACGCTATGTATCCCGCTAGGGGCGTATTTAGAGGGGGTGCCGTGGGTTCACGTGAACCCATGCTCCCCTCTCTAGTCATATATAATAGTGTTATATTTTTTTAAAATATTTAAATATAGATGTGTGAACCCACATTTAAAGTATCATATAATAATACAATAATGATTGAGTGCACCTCTCTAAGTAAGGATACAAATTTAAGTCTTATATCTATCTTGTCCTTTTGAGTAACACCTCTCCAAGTGGTTATCGATTATACTTTTGACATTTCAACTAATTTTTCTTTTGTTTTTTTCCTTTAATCTTTCAAAATTTTCAAGTGCCTTACATTGGAAGTTCCTAAAACTTTGCACTATAAGATTTTTATATAATTAAATCAAATGTGTATATTAAAATTTAAAATTAATAGTATTATATATTTTGGACCTATAATTTTAAAAATTTAATGGTTCATATTAAGTACCTAAAAGTCAAACTTATCAAATTTATATTTAAGATGCATTTTTTCGTATTCATGCACCCATCTTGACGAATTCCTGGATACGCCTCTGTATCTCGCATGTATCCCGTGCACAACGCTATGTATCCCGCTATGTGGAATGTATCAAACCTAATGTATCCCGTGCACAACACTATGTATCCCGCAAACATCATTTTTAAGAGATTTTTGGTAAATAGAAAACTAGAAGGGATAGGATGTTATTTAGTACTTATAATATGTGGTTCCTTTAATTTATACTTAATATTATTATATTATATTTAACTATAATAATATAATATGAGTATTTATAATCAACATTTCGTTAAACACTTTAGTGACTCGGAATGTAATAGCATTAACTCAATTATCACTAAATATCTTTACAACAATTCTAAACAGAAAATTTATTGTCACTAAATATCTCTTTTACACATGGCAATGAAATCTATTACAGTACGTGGCTTTCCTATCACAAGAAACATGATCTCGTCTTCAATAAAATCCAACGACTTCAGTTATATACATTATTAATGTACTTTTCTTCTTTATATTATTAGTGCAATTTTAACCTCACATCTTATTGTTGGAAAACATATATGCACAGCGGAAGCATACTAGAATCTTACTGCTTACATGAATAAAAGATAATCAATAATCATTTATGCTAGATCACATAATCATGCTAGAACACATAAACATATTGAAATTTAATTCGATAAATACCTCTTGAAGCGTGAACAGATACCTTCAAGCGAATCCCCAAGTTAGACAGACCTTCAAGTGAATCTGCAAGATAGCTATGGTCTTCTACAGTGATCCCAAGTTCACATCTGAACTCTCTCAATACTTGGGTGGGCAAGTATGAATAGAAAACTAATCAATCTAGGGCAAGAAGAATCCCTAATTATAGAGATTTCTTCACAGTCCAAAGAGGAGAACCAAACACATGTTATTTTTCTTCAATCGAAAAATACACGCTAGTTTTCTTTTTATAAGAAAACTAACGTCTCTCCCCTTTTCCCTTTAGAATTAGGATTCTGAGTTCTAGTTAAATATGGGCATTGGAGGGACCACAAAATTAATTACTGAGGCTTCCTATTATGAAAATAATTCCAAATAATTGATTTGAATTATTCTTACCATAATAAATTACAAATCATTCCACTAGAAATTCGTAATTGCACTCCTCTATTTATATTTCGTAATTCCCCATTAAATACTTATGTAATTCCCCATGTTAAGATTTCAGATACTAATCAATAAATTAAATTACTGACGAATTTAACTTAATGATTAATTTCCTTTAGAGCACTACTTAACTTATTTCATGTGTCGGATTCATAAATCCACTTGCAAGGTTTGACACGATGAAAACTTATAAGTTTCTCAAAAAGACATTTCAATCAATCTCTATAACGAGACATGGATTTCATCAACTAACTTATTATTTCACCAATATATATTATTATCATCCAACTTACCAGACATATTGACCCATCTCAGAATCTCACCTTTTAATAAATCAAAATGATAATTAATATATACAAATCATAATAGTTATATCAGGATTAAGAATATAAGTACATTTAATAGTTTAGAGAATATGTTTTGTCAATCAGTCTAAAACAACTATCTCTACTCGATCCCGTTCAATACATACAAAATGCACTAGCACAAGAAGTTGGAACTATACCGTTCCCATAATCAAGATAAATTACCTATAATCTTGTGCTACAATCGTACCGATGACATGTCCAATTTCCATACTAGATTGTGAACAAAAAACTTTATACTTATAAGAACCGATGATTTAATCCTCTGTGTATAAGCTAAAACTCTACACACTAAATCATCTACTATATAAGTAAATAGACATCATAAACGAATATATGATCTATTAAAATTGAGCAAATATTTATTCTATAATAAATATTATTTCTTAACACATGGTTAATAGTATATATCCCAACACTTATTTCACTATTTTACAAGTCAACATACATATCAGACTTCTTGTGAAACTAATTACCCACTGAATATTACTATATACTAGTTTAACTTGATATATAGTGTAAAACGTGTACAATATACTCTTAATTAATTCATTAAAATAACAAACCCTGGAATAATTAAAGCTTCTGTTGTTATAATGTACGCCTACTATAAGGAAAGTTAGTAGTTTAGTGGTGGAACTGTTTCACCCATAATTATCAGAGGTTTCAGATTTGAATTCTAGATAAGGAGAAAATCATGTTGGGAACGACATTCCCAAATGAATGATGCACGATTCGAATTTAATCAGGACATCAATACGGACTCAGACATCGGGTAGGAAAAAGAAAAAAAACTCCAACCATAAGGTAGTTATTCTTTCTTTCTTCCCCTTGAATCTAGGAGAAGTACTATCTTTTCAAGTACAGCCAAGTTTTTTTTTTTATGTATGTATATACGTGTATACCTCTTAGTACCTTACCATCTGTTTGCCTTGAAGCTTTAGACCAACCTGAAAGAAACAGATTAACAACCGTTATCTATTACTTCTTCTTAGTTGATATTAAGTGAATGACTGAGATTTTTTTCATAGTTTAAAATAAGTGAATTACTTAAAATTTAAGAGAATTGTTCCTTTTTAGTATATTTATTCTTCATTTAATGAGATTCTTAATTACTTGACATTTTTAATAGAATAATTTAAATATAATCAAAAGGATAATAATGAAAAATAGTCTTAAATTTATGTCCTTAAATATATTTCTTAAGAGGTGTACCAAATTTCAACAATTCACTTAATATGGCCTAGAAAAAGTAGAAACAACTTGATAATACTGTGTACACATCATCCTCCTCAGACTTCATTAGTGAGACTATATTCTCATGTTATATACATTAGACAAAAGGATTTTTAACGTTCTCCATGGTGCGTTAATTACTTCTGTTTAGCATATATGTATCTCTCTCTCTCTATATATATCATGTGCTTCTTACTCTTTCCATCTTTGACTAAAACAGAGAAAAACTCTATGTTCTTTGTGTTTTACGTTAAAGAAAAACTCCACACATAATTACATGAATTTACATGATTGATTATTTGAATTTTCACCACATTACACTTTGTTTGGATGATTGTTATGTATTATTTTATAATGTATTATATTGTATTTTTTAAAGAAAAGTAGGGTACGGTTAGAGCTAGTATGAAAAAGTACACTAAAAGATGAAATGTATTAAATAATAAATAAAGACAAAATGGGAAGAAAATATTAAGCTAACAACGCGATCACACTAAATCACATAAGATGGGTCTTTTCGTCGTTACCTAACGATATTTAAATAATACAATTCACAATAATTTAAGTAATAATTAAAACAAAAATATATTTAAACTAACAATACAATACAATACAACATGTAACAACCATCCAAACGAGGTGTTAGTGAGGCCCATCTCTCATTTTTCTTTCCCTTACCTCATTTTTTTTTGGATAAATTACCTATATACACACCTTTATTAGTTTATTAGTTACCTTGTAAATAGTATATCAAGTGTTCATAATTGAGTTCTGAATTTAATTTGTACATACATAAATATATAATTTTTTTCTTACTATATACATTATCTAGACTAAAGTTACTTACTTTGGCGAACTATATATATACCTCATTTTCTGGTCCGACCCTGATTCCTTGACATTAATGGAGAAGCTTTTTTTTCCTAGACGAGTTTTATAGATTCACCAGTACTTTCCACTCGTGAACTATTTATATATGTACAAAAAGAAAAAGATTTTTTTTTTTTTTTTTTTACATTTGATATGATTATGCTTATTCTAAATTTACAAAATCTAAATTCCAAATTCTCATCGTAACTACGGAGTTACTATGCAGGGAAAACATATTGCATATATCAGATGATCATCAGTTCAACAAGTCCCGTCTTTAACAAGCATGCATGCAAGGTAACTTCCAGCGCATCATTATTAGTTTGCCTCGTTTAATATGTCAATACATTTATTTAATAGAGGTGGTGATGGGAAACCAGACTTAAAAAAAACACACATGAATGACAATGTGAAATCCACTCTTCACACACCCTCCCATGCCAAGACCGGACATCTGGTGCGTGAACAATTATATTTGATATATGAGAGTCCAATATCATAAATGAAAATTGGAATGAGTACTCATGTTCTGATAAAGAAATGAATTTCGAGTCAAACAATAAGGAATACCCAAGCTAGCCATATTAAAAAGACCACTCTATCTCTTAAAGGGTGATGTAGACTCTTGATCATCCCAGTGAAATAAAAGCAAATATATTTGAAAGAAAAGAAATGTCTACTAGTAAAAGAATGTACTATTCTTGGAGTTGTTAGTAATGTTGTTGATCGTACAAGATAAAAAAGCATCGCTGGAAATGCTTAGTCTCAAAGCACAAAATAAGCTTCAAATTTCCTAAGGCTTCCCTGTTTTTACTAATTGAGTGACTTGAAAGTACATATTAATATCTCCATGCACCAAACACCAAAAATACTATTTGTTTATTTGATCATTCCATGCTATATATACCCAAAATCCTGTTTCACAATCATCTCATCTTCCTTTCAAGTTGCAATTAATTAATTAAATCCTTAGATACCAGTTTAAGCATAATTAATGGCTCCTTTTTCTACAATCTTTTTTCTTATTTTGTTAATAGTCCCTCTATGCAGTGCAACTCTTGGAGTTCAATACTATGATCAAACATGTCCTCATGCTGAAGATATTATTTATCAAACAATTCGCAATGCTTCGTTTTTTGATCCTAAAGTCCCAGCACGTATTCTCAGGATGTTCTTCCATGATTGTTTCATTAGAGTATGTATTAATTGTGTGCATAATGCAAGTCATTATATTATAGATGCATGAAAGAGATGGAAATTGAAACTGTTTTGTTAATGATTATTCACAGGGATGTGATGCATCAGTTCTACTGGATTCAACACCAGAAAACAAAGCAGAGAAAGATGGTCCGCCTAACCTCTCTCTTGGAGCTTTCTATGTGATTGATGCTGTCAAAACTAACCTCGAAAAGGCTTGCCCAACAACTGTTTCTTGTGCTGACATAGTTGCCATCGCAGCTAGAGATGTCGTGGCCATGGTACTACTTCATCATCCTCCCTACTAAATTGTTAATTCACGAGCAGTAAATAACACTATATGACCAGTTAAAATATACTACTAGCTAGCAAGGCGTTGTCAGTGTATATAAGTTAAATTCACTGATTAAACTGTAATCATAAGCTCATAAATACTTCATGTCTGATCAATTTTGTAGTCTGGAGGTCCATACTGGAATGTACTAAAAGGAAGAAAAGATGGAAGGGTGTCAAGGGCCAATGAGACAGTAAACTTACCTGCTCCATCCTTCAACACAAGCCAACTCATTCAGAGCTTTGCCAACAGGGGATTGGGAGTGAAAGATTTGGTTGCTCTTTCTGGTGGACACACACTTGGATTCTCACACTGCTCTTCATTTGAAGGCAGACTTCATAACTTCAGCTCAGTGCACGACACTGACCCGAGCTTGAACGCAGTATTTGCACAGAGCTTAAAGCAGAAATGCCCGAAACCCAACAGTGATCGCAATGCAGGACAATTATTGGACCCAACTTCATCAGTATTTGACAACAACTATTACAAGCAAATTATTTCAGGCAAAGGTGTTTTTGCATCAGACCAGAGTTTGTTGAATGACTACAGGACTGGATTGATTGTTAAGGCATTTGCCAATGACCAAACTGTGTTCTTCAGGGAATTTGCTGCTTCAATGATCAAGCTTGGAAATGTTGGTGTCCTTGAAAATGCAGAAGTTAGACTCAACTGCAGAGCTGTGAACTGAGAAATGAGTGTGTTTGTACCTATGTTTGTTCTTTTTGCTGTCTAATAACTGAGGCTTAATGAAATACTAGTATGAAATATCTATGCACCTTGATTATTCCCTTGTAAGGTGAAGAGGTAGCAGAGGAAGAATAATATCATCAATGTTGCTTGTTGTTCATAATCTATCCTCTAAATTGTATTCACCGTACGCATACAGTTTCTTTCAAATATTCTGTCATCAAAATTGAGATATAATACAAGCTCGTAGATTCTAAGATGGGGTACACATATCAATGTATTCCACCTACAAATATTAGCTTCTTCTTAAGTATCTCAATAGATTGCAATAGAGACATTAATTTTACTCTATGACTACTACAACTACATACCTAGTGTAATCCCACAAATGGAGTCTAGGAAGGATAAAATGTTAACAGACTTTACCCCTACCTTGGGAGGTAGAGAGGCTGTTTCCGACTAAGTTGCACGAACTCTTCACTTGCGATGTCGCACCCGTGTCGGATTCACCAAAAACACACTAATTTTGGAGAATCCGACACAAACAGTTCGAGCAACATACGTTCTCGATAGACTCTCGGCTCAAGTAAAAGCATTTCACAGCAGTTCAATCGAGAAAAACAATAATTGTGCTCTATGATTGACAGTGCCAATTACGTAAGAAGCAACCAACTCAACTCCCTCCAAACAACAAAATTATAAAGGAAAAAATATCAGACATCCCACCTTTTCCTGTGAATATTAATGAAAGTAATCCTATCACCAGTCCAGACTCATGAAAGATTCAATGTTTAATCCAAGTGCTTTTTCCAGTGTGATACAGAAGTATAACTGAAATTCTTTACAGGGCAACGCCCGAAGCAAAAAGATTTATGGCAGAATACAGCAGTAGTTTGACATAAAATGAAGTTAGAAATAGAAGTAGAGGAATTACAACAAGTTGAAGAGATTTTGTGCTCATTAACTCAACGGAGTTTAGAAATCAAATATGATTCATTTAGGCTTAGCATTTGTTCAAGCAAATACAACATCAGATCGTAATATATATTTGATACCCTTAGTGACATTCCGAGCTTCATGCAACATACATTTATCCCCGTGAATGTGAACAAGAGCCATTCCTTCGGTCGGAGGTACCTATACAATGTTAAATATAAATAGCATAACAAAATCAGATTTTTACTCAAGAAAAGCATGCCATTATTCTCTAATTGATGCCACATTATGCAGTTTACAATAGGATATATAGCATAACAAATCATGATTGATTGATTGCCTTCTATGCAGGTAACTGAAATATGAAGAAACACATCTAAAATAAGTAATACATGTCTACATGTGTGAAGGGCAATCGGGAATGGGAACATTGAAGAAAGAGTGGGAGTGGCATTTCTGAAAAGGGGAGAATAGTACCTCGGCAACCAAAGCGTTTCTTGGACCGTAAAAGACAGTTTCCCCTCCAACAAGGCTCTCAGACAATGAATCCTGAGAATCTTTATCAACTTTGGTTTTGGATTTGGGACCACCACTTAAATATATTAACAAAGTGTAGTGTGTGCGCTTCCCTTCTCCAATGGCAACACTTTCATCAATATGCCGTCCAAATCTCTGACCAGCCTTGTACCTAGAGAGCAACAACAGTTACTTGATGAGGACCAAACATTTGTTATAATGTCCACCTTACCATGTACTCAGGAAAAGGAAATGAGAATCACAAATGTGGAGAAAAGGAAAAGAAATGGCTGCGAAGGCCCTGACACCAGAGGGAAAACTAAGAGAATGTTTCAAACAAGCGACACTAATAGTATACAAAAGTTTATTAAACAGATAGCAACTAATTGTTATGTTAGACATCATCAAACCATATATAATTGAAGTATATAATTTGATAACTAATATAAAGAGAATAGTGCTGTGAAGGCCCTTAACTATTTAATTTGTGGATATTTTAACTCAACAATATTTTGTGGCAATTATTGTAAAGTGTCAACTTTACATAACATAGTAAATTTCTCCTTCTGTCATCTTTCATTAATTATACAGTTACTTTACACAATTTCTTCCTCACAGCACAACACCAGTGCACCAACCCTCTTCCTACTTCTTTCTTCCTCCTTGCCCCAACAGCTCCCTCAAACACCACAGCACTGGTTGCAACTTCTTGCTGCTACTTTTATCATCCCTTTCTTACTTACTGCTTTATTCCTTGTTATTTTCTTATTCATTCCAAATTCCACTTTCAAATATCATGTATTTCATTTCAGCAGCTCCAACCAAAAGTTGAATCTTGTAAAGACTGTATTACTTTGTATGCCACATTTTCTTCCAGCACAGCAGAATAGATACCCCAAGGTTTGCTTGTCTTCCTAGCTATATCTATGCTACTGATTGTTTGAGAAAACTTAAATTGGTTGTGAGTTTATAAACTGTTTTGGGAATCAAATCTGGTTTTCCTTCTTGTGGACTTGTGGTTTCTTCTTCTTTTTTCTTTTGAACTTTTGGTTAGCACCGAAGTCTGAATTCATTTCAAACAAGCAACGAAGAGAAAACAATAAAAAGGAAAGGAAGAAGAGAAGAAGTTGGGGATGGGGAGTTACTTGGAAGAGGAAGTTGCTGCTGGAGGAATTGGGGTGGGATGGGTAGCAATTGGGCGTGGAGGAAGAAAAAAGCAAACAAACAACGGTGAAGTAAGAGGAGTGAGGTGACACAGTGTTGTGCCAAACTGCCACTGAAGAAACAAAAAACAGTAAAGAGTCCATATTATACCCAAGAGCCTAACAGTCCATTAATGAAAACTGAAGTAAGGGCAAGTGGTTACGTTTGAAAAGCTGAAGGGGTCAATTTGCCACAAAGAAAATGCTAAGAGGGTAAACTGCAACAAGTTAAATAGTTAAAGGCTACACCGCTTTTCTTGATACAAATAGTGTTACCTCAAAAACATTCATGTGATTGCTACTATTTCAGATTAGGAAAGGGAATGGTAAGTTGACAAGCATTTTGTACATAACAGTCAAAGCAGTTTAGACATTTCGTTGAAATTACTGGAAAGAAAACAGAAACAAGATGGATGTACTTGGTTAGAAGGTAAAAAACACGATTCATAAAACTGGAAGGAGTTCCCAATCTATTTGATATCATAAGCTTCAAACAGTCACCTATATGTTGACTACCTCATGACCCTTCAAAGCAAGAAACTATCAATACTTCCCCAGAAAACCAGGAAAAATCAGCATTCAATTTGTTATTTATCTGCTGCCATATGGTATTTTGGATTTTCACTATCTCGTCCTGCATCTGATGATCGCTACCACCACCATGTAGGTAAACGACATGGTTGATTATGACCTGTTCAATCTAGTCAATGTCTATCAAACTCAATAAAGTATATTTCTTAAATATGCCACATTTTATCCAAATAAGTAAGTTTACCACACAGCAGGGCAAAGGATCACATAAATGTCATAATAATATCACAGTTTAATGACGAAAATACACCTAACCTGTAAAATCTAATATTGGGGTTCAATCCAACAGCAACTTTGCCTCGAATTTTGATGTCAGAAAATAATTTGTTCAGTCCAGCTCTCCACATTGCATCTGCAAGATCAGGATCATGCATAGATACACGATCATTGTCTCTATAAGCTTCGCCATATGCAGGACCACGACTTCCTTGGTGAACAAACCCAATTGACTCTGCAGTTTTGACAAAAGCCTTTGATTCAGCTGGAGTAAGGAAATTCTCAACCTGAACAATATAAGCAAATAGAGGAATTATTAGAAGCCAATAATAGCTTCATCATTAAATTAAGGTCTTGTGATTTGACATCATGATTCAAGCAAAGATGAGAGATTCTTATTTCCTAATGTGATAGCAAAAAGGTGTCCGGTTCGACTCTTGTCAAATAGGCAAGTTGGTTGATTTTATCTACGATATATTCTCCTACAGTTTCTCTGTTCCGATAATCACATCAAGAATAAATCCTAATCGTAGCTCATAAGAGATGTTCATTATTTTTGTTATTTTGATTGAACATGGTGAAAGTAGCAAACTTTAATTGTTTATAGTAGGGTAGGAGGTTCTTCAACAACAAAACACTCTCTCAACTCAATTTATTTGATAGACTTCTTATTTAGATTTCTCAGATTGTCAACCAACGAAACAACAATGATCAAAGGTGGAATCATCCAATCTAACTGAAAATTCTTACAAGTGACACACACCTGTATCCTTCAACAATTTTAAGCAACCTTCTGGCTTCACATAAACATTGTAAGCTAATTCAGTAGCTACACAATCTTATTACTTATCCCCCCTCCCCCCGAACTATGAACTTCCTTGTTTTGGAGAAACTCATTATCAATTTAGCAAACCAACTACATAACAACAATAGAAGTAACGAGCTTCTCGAATATAAACATGAAACAATAAATCCAACCTGATTTAAACTTTAATTCATAATCATTTAAACAAAAAAACATCAGTGATTCTAATGCATGACACAATTGCTAAATCAACAAACAGAGCAGTAGTAATTAAGCTCAAATCACTCACAATTATGACAAATGTATCAAAATCTCAAGTTATAGGGGTTATGCTTGAATTATTTAAACAACGAGTTTCATGATTTGCCTAAGCTTCATATCATTAACAGCATGTCCCGTCAAAAGAAAACCAATATAAAGAAGATAAACAAACAATCAAAAATTAGTGGAAAATTTAGGCGAAAACACAACAAATTTTAGTGTAAAAAGGGGAAAGAATGAATCCGTACGGTAATGAGATCGTTATCTTTGAGGCGATTGACCTCAAGGTTTAATTTGAGTTTGATTGATGGCCACCCAGATTCTCTTCTCTCCTTCTTCCCATCATTTTTTCCTTCTTTCCTCCTTTCTGCCATTTTTCTCTTCATTCACACCTTTTTTCCCTTTCTTATATTTTCCTCTGCCTTTTATTAAAATTAAAATAATTTCTGCAAAAGTATGATATTTTTGGTGGGTTTAAAAGTTTCTTGGGCCGCGATGACATGTTTCCTGGGCTTGGTATCTCTATTGAAAAGGCCTAACAATTTGGACCGCGAAACCGATTAAACAAGGTAGTGGATAAATTGACATGGTTTTATAGTGAGCAAACAACACAAATTTCACTAATTTAGAGTCTAATTACGTGTCTTTATTTTAATTTTTGAAATTATCTTTCGTATTATATTTATTTCGTCAGATACATGTACTTGGCACACTCAAATACATATGGATCAAATTAGGTGTAATTTGTTCTAGATATTTTAACATTATATTCAACCGTCGTTCACATATATCTAGGATATGTAACTCTATTCTCTTGCTCGTCTCTCTTCATATGTATATATATTTTCTAAATGTATTTGGAATGTATCTAGTACTTTAGGTATATATATTTGAGATACACTGACTCTCTCGGTCACTTCTCCTCTATCTCACTCGCCTCTCTCCCAACGTATCTATATTTCAAAATATATTTGGTATAAAAAAAATACATGTATTTGACTTTAAATAGTATAGAATTACTAATTAGCGAGACTCTGATTATTTCAAATTACTTAGTAATTATAATAGAAATAATTGTGTTAGATGGTTTTTTCTTTATCAATTAAGAGAGACAATTTGCATCTATTAGCCCGATTTGAAAAATTGGCACAAAATAGTTATATATATATATATATATATATATTGCTTCGGCTAATAAAAGTAGCAAATAATGACCCACAAATTTTTTGTATATGTTTAGTTTTTTCCAAATCCGTCCAAAAATTTTATTCTTTATTTTCCATCGCTCAACCTAAAATCTTTGTTCTTTCATCTTTTTCTCCTAAGATATCTCTTCTTAGGAGAAATCTCTTCTTTCTTCTTTTCATGTCTCCTCCTAAAGTCTCTCAAATTGATTGAATCTCTGCAATGTTCATATTTTGATTAATCATTTGAAAATTTTCAAAAAAAATCAAAGGCTTTTCTATGATGTATTGGTATTAGACAACATATTTGATATTTTTAACTATGAATAATTGTTAGTTTTTAAACAACGATAGTTTTTTTATAATATTCTTTTTATTATATTAGACAGAAAATCACTTAAAACGGAAAAGGAAGCAAAATGAAGCTAACGACAGGACTGACAAGCAATCACACCTTCGACGAGCCATCAATTTCGCATTGGTATATATCCCAATTGATGAGATAATTTTATCAATTCCATCCTCCATACTAAACAACTTATAAGAAATTATAATTAAAAAGGTATTTTGTACAATTTCATCTTGTTCTCTTTTCAATAACTACACTTTTTTTAAGAATAAGAAACTAATATTATTTCAAGGACGAAATTTTCAACCGGAGATAAGTGGATTGAAATTGCAAGGGCTGGACATAGAGAGCATGATGAACTATTACCTAATATAAGGATGAAATGAATAAAAATAATTAATTTTATTTTGATTTCATAAAATGACAAACATTCCTTTCGTTTCATTTTACTAAACTCATATTTATGACCTGCCTTCTAAAATTAAGATATATTTCACAAAACTATTTTTTTTTTTAAAAATCACCAACGCCGTGAGGTTCAAAATTAATAATTAAAAAAATAATTGAGAATCACCACCTAATTTTAAAACTTTTCTAAAATTAGCATATAAATTATTTAACAAAAATAATCCAAGAACCCAATCAATTCTAACTAAGGGGTCGTTTGGTTTGAATCAGTATTTTAGGCAGGGGCGTGAGACGAGACATTTTATGTCGTATGGGGTGAGACGTAAGCCTCGAGATACGGGGCGTAAGTCATATAGATCTACCGGGCGTAGTCTCATGTATATTTAATTTTATTACTAAAAAATATAAGCAAAAGTAAAACTTTTAATTATTTTACAAATAAATTTTAATAAATAACCTATAATGTATAGAAAAAATATTCTGATTTTTATTTGAGAAAGGTATAAATAACCATGAAGAAATAAAGTATTACAATTACTATTTGAGAAATATCGTTACATAATAATAAAATATATGATTTAAAACAAAAAAAAAGTTAACCCCCACCCCCCGAAAAAAAAACGCACGGGGCTTACGTTTTTACGCTTGGAGCTTACGCCCCAAATTCTAGGGCATACGCCCTATGGATCTACATCTTCAATTTGCGGCTCAGAACTACTTTAACACGTCCTGCCCCGAGACTCGCCCCAAAAAAAACATTTTTGAAAACACTGGTTTGAATACAAGTTATGTTGGGATAAGTATGCTAGAATTAGTTATCCTAACACTATTTCTTATTGATCGTTTGGATTGTTGTACTAAAAATAATAACCATCACATACTTCTTTAAAATAAGTGGTTTGATTACAAAAATACCTTCTTATTTAGTTTTTTGTATATATATTTCTTATAGAGTTTTAGTTATTCATTCTTAAAAACAAATCTCCACCTTAATTAGCTTAATTATTTTTATGTATGAATTTTCTTTGTGTTCAATTATGTGCCAATTTTGGAGGCGTCAATACTCCACGCTAAAGGAAACATATTGAAACAAACTCGATTCCCAACACAAACACTGATATATAATATTTACTGGATACACATTACAACGTTTAATACACACAACAAAGTAATAACACACTAATTACGAATAGATCAACATAGAAGAAGGTAACTAGAAAGGGATGAAATACTAGAACAAAGAAAGGGGATGAGAGATAACTGAAAGCCAAAGCTTCGACATAATTTACATAACCGTTCTTTCTAATCCCTAGACCTTTTTAACAATAGCTAATTGGGCCTGGATCCCATATAACACTCTCCAGCATATTACTCGGCCCAATAACTCCATATAAATCAGTCTCACTCAAAATTCCTAACACATAGGCCCGTACAAAGTCAACTTGATTCACAACAATACTCTCATCCTCAATAAGAACTTTGTCCTCAAGGTTCGGGTAGAACAATATTGATTTATTACGGCAAACTTGTTAAGACCTGGATATGTGTTAAAAGTTGCTTTAACAAATATTGTATCTTCTCTATCTTCCTGATCAATCCTTTGGAGGAAATATATCAATAGCCACTTGACTAAGGCAATATCAAAGATGACATTCTCATCAACATTTGCATATGTTGTAATTGGAAATACATCAATACAGACTGACAGGAATTCCAATGACAATGTTGCTACCATTTCGTTTTTAGTCAATACACTGATGTACTGGTTAATGTGGTTCATCATTGTATCCACATTATGATAGCAACTTCAAGCTGAGACCATACAAATGTAACATAAGTCCAGAGAAAGACATTAGCACTTGCCATTAATATACCACAAGGGGTTGGATAAAAGCAATAACTTTTTTAAAATTCAAGTTTTGCACATGCTAGATAGAACCATAAAGTAAGATTCTGAGCATTGCTCACTCCTTGGAATTTTTGATAGACAACTATACGACACATATTGCATTTTATTTTATTATTACCATCCAAATCTTCAACCCATCTATATTTACCACATCGCTCTGTCGTCCACTTTGCAAGAACATGCTCATGTTCTTGTTCGAAGATTTCAAATAGTTGTTGGTGATCTACTTTCTGAGAATTCCAGCAATGCACCATCCATTTTTTAATTCCACCACCAACAAGGAAGGATTCTTGTTGATGCACAGTTAATACACAAATAGGTCTCTTAAGTTGCTTTATATTCACAGGAACATCTTGAGTTTGGATGTGGAACAAAATGCCACTATTCAAATTGTTTAACTTCACAAACTGCCGATGTATTCCAGGATCCCATACATATAAAAATATACCCTTTCCAACTAAATTACTTTGAGACCCCAAACATTTAAGATCATAACCATCACATTCAACAAGTTTAGGACGCATGTCCAAGGATAAAATAATAGAGCAGCCAACATAGTTCCAGTTCCGACCATCATTAGTAACTTTGCTCATAAGTTTGGCATAATTGAAAGTGTAAGAAATAAAAGGCATCTCCTCCCAACGTTGAGCAAGCCCGACAGGGTAAGCAAACAATTGATTCCAACGATCATCTAAAGTTTTGCATATATCAAACATGGAAAGGTCACATGTAGTAGATACTATAGAATTAATCCAGAATGAAAGCTTGTTTGCATTTGCAATCACAAATTCTATAGGTATGTTTCTGATGGTTACAATTTCCTCTTCATCATTCTTGTCTTCATTTTCAACAGCATCACCACAACTATTTTCAATTTTGGAAACAGAACTTACCAGATCATTAGGGGTAATGAAAAATTCAATAGGCTTACTGGATGTATAGAGAGAATTTGCATCTTTGTGCCTATCAGACGATTCATCGAACACCTTGTGCGCATTGGTATTGCTTTTGCATTCTGACCGTTCACCGTTATATTGCGATAAAAGTGAATTGGTTATGTTTCTCCATTGTGGATGAACATATGTATGACTTGGGAATAGTAAACCTGACTCACCGAGGCTATCCTCACAACAATTTTGGTACTCCGTCACATATGTTACATGTTCGAAATTAGCAAATCTCCCTCCCGTGGACTCAAATCCTTTTTGTTTAAATCGAATTCTCACCATATCAGCAAAATGCAGCCAATCAATTAGTTGATTATTTCTAAATAGCCATTGGTACCATTTTAATGCTTCACCATCAAGGTAGAACAACGCCACGTTAAGCTTCTGATCTTCCTCAATTTTATGGAAATTGAAATAATGCTCTGCTTGGACTATCCAAGCCTTCGGATTCTTGCCTCGAAACTGTCATAATTTTGCATTTGTAACTGTATTTTGAGGTTCAAAAGATGTAGCCTTTCCCCTCAAAACCTTCAGCAACATCGAACGAAATTCTGTGAGATCTTTACGGATATAATCCTTTATTTCTCGTATTGAATC